TAAAACAAAGAGGTAAAAAGAGGGACAATTGCTTTTGGCTCACAGAGGGCGCCAAGAAGGCGGAAAAGATCCTTTCTAAAGTCAAGACTAATTAGCAGCGGGCTGTTTGACAAAGTCCAGGTGAGAGAAAGCCAAAGATTGTCATTTTGCGTACGTGCAAAAAAAGGGCAAAATTGATTTTGTTTTTTTTAACAAGAACGATGTAACCACGCCCGCAAACAGAGGGGAGAGGATGTTCGATCAATAACAATTGGTCGAATACGATCACGTGACCTGCGGAAGAAAAGGGAAAGAAATATTTGATAACAATTGGTCGAATACGATCACGTGACCTGCGGAAGAAAAGGGAAAGAAATGTTCGATCAATAACAATTGGTCGAATACGATCACGTGACCTGCGGAAGAAAAGGGAAAGAAATGCTCGATCAGGAACGATTGGTTGAAAAGCGGTCACCTGACATACGAGAGACTAAGAGAGATGGATGTGCCCGCCCCACCAAAGGTACTGCGAGGAAGTAGGGCGAAAAAACAATAGCGATAATGGAGAAGACAGAATTAATGCAGTTTTGGAATTATCGAGAAAACCCTGACGCCGACAGACCCACCCCAGTTTGTTGCGGCGTCAATATAAGCAGGACCCCAGTCGACAGAAATCAGTTGAGTTGGAGTTGCAGATGGAGTGGAGTTGCAGCTGAACCGCGGGCAGGGAAAGAGCCTGAACGCGGGCATCAGGCCCGATTCACTCGCCCCTTTGCGGGCAGAAGAACCCTCAGACAAGAAATCCTTCCAGCCCAAGTCGAAGACAGGAGAACTTCCAGCCCAAGTAGACGAAGAAGAAGATTGCCTGAAAGCCTGAGAAGAATTGGAGATGCAGACAAGCCGAAAGTCGATGAGAGGTTAAAGTTCATCCCCGGACGGCAGCGAGAAAAGAACCCTCAGACAAGAAGAACTTCCAGCCCAAGTAGAAGAAGAAGAAGAAATACAACTCAAGTCGGAGAGAAGAATCAACTGCGAATGATCGATAGAAATTAGCCCCAGTGTCGAACTGAACCACACCCGACATACATACATGATTCTAGAAAGTAGGTAATTGACATTTTCCTATTGTGTGATAGAAGCTTGGTGCCATAGTCCACAGAGCGGGTCGGGAATTGAGAACAATTTTGTTTTTATGTAACGGACTTTAAGATATAAAAAGGTTGTTACCCTTTTATCATCAGCAATTTTGTTTGGTGTCGTGAGTTTTATTTTATTTGTGTTTTGCCACCCCGTCGGACTCAACTTGTATCGGCCCCGATCCCTGCTGGTCCCGTCTGTCTAAGATCTAAACACAGCGTGGGTGGACAGACCGGAGATCGGTATAGTTGCTTTAGTGACCAGGTATTGGAAGCGAGTCGGGAAAAGGCGAGGCTGGTGATCATCTGACCAAAGGGTTGGAGCGGCACGCTTGGACCCAGGAGGAGCGACCAGGAGGAGCGACGTCACCGTTGGCGCCGTAACCAAAGGATCCGACACTGGGCCAGGTGTGTAACCGTCACAGCAAAATATCAGTCAACCATCGTTCATAGCTGAGAGTAGCTTGATACTAACAGGGTAGTGCATGAGAAAACAAGATACGTTGTTACACAAGCCAAAATTGCTGTAACCAAGGGTGGCTTAAAAACTTATCATAGGCTAATGTCTAACTGTTTTAAATGAAATGTTTCCTGGAAGATTGTAAAAGGCACGAACAACATTTCTTTGCTGAGAAATATAAAAGATACGGAGAAAACGTATCAACTTGTTTAAACCCTATCTAGATGACCAGAGATTGACATCTGATATCTCCCCTGATCCAGCTATAACATCCCAGTGGCGGTAGAAAATGATTGGTTGTATTCTATGCCTCGAAAAGCAGACTAATTACATTCCATCATCGACAATGCCGATCGTAGATTGAAGTATCACAAATCACGATGAATGGAAGTTCCCTTAGGGAGGCTCTGTGCTTTGAACGTCTATTGAGCATAAACTCAACTCCCACCTCAAGTGGATCACGTACATGCAATCCACAAATTCGGTTCCGCTACAGTATCTGACCCCTCTCACTATCCTGTACCTACAAGTGCCAGATCAGGCCGGAAATGAATTACTGCTGTTATATTTTGCCAGGAGGTGCCGAGTCTTCATTTTCCACTTTCGATAGAACCCAAACGCCTTTCCGCGTCCTTGTGGTTGATGAATCATTTTCCACCTTGCAACCCATTTCTCACAGACGAAACGTCGCAAGCTTCTCGGTGCTCTATTGCTAATCCCATGGAAAGTGGTCAGATAAACAACGTCCCTTGTTTCCACCAGTTCTAACTTTGTTGCTAGAACCCGCCAGGCACATTCGAGTAAATCCCTTTCATTCCCTTCGTGTTTTATTGAGAAGATGAAAGTTACAATCAAACAGCTTCTTCCCACGAACTTATAATTGGTAGAACCGACTCCCAAGCGAATACTTTCCCGATCAACACAATCTTAATCTGTTCAACCGTAGGAGAAACCGTTATCTTTCCTACGTATCCCTATAAATGTACCACTGCTGTAAGTACCTGATTCCTCCTGCTATACTTTCAGATCAGACGAAATACTGCCACCGTATATGGTAGGAACTCTCCAGTCTTCCCTTTCCAGTGTCGATTGAATCTTAAATCGTCTCCTCGTCCTTGTGGGTGAAAAATAATTCCTCACCCGACAAACCCATCCTGACAGACAAAACGTGGCGAGCCTCTCAGTGCTCTATCGCAACATGTATGGAAAGTGGTCAGATGAAGTACATTCTTTAGTTCCCACAGTTCTAACCTTCACGGCTAAGACTCGGCATGTTACGCACATTGTAGCAGACCCCCTCATTCTCTTCACATTCTATTTTGGAGAAGTTCCACTTAAACAGTTTCTTCCCACGAACCGTTGCTATGTGGAACCGACTCCCAAGAGGATGCTTCCCCGATCACCTCAATCATAACCTGTTCAAGTCTCGAGTTAACATTTATCTTCCCCACATAATCACCTAAATAATATCTCTTAATCTGTAACCCTCTACCTCGAGTCGCCCCCTGGCCTTGAACAGGGTGAATATTCCTGTAAAAAAATAATAAGTCAGTAGATACAAAACCCGTAAATATTTTGGTGTTTTACCATGTTTTAGCTTAGGTTTTCACAGTCATTTACTGTAGGTCAATCAAAAGCGAAATACGGCCATGAATTTTCCTAAATCTTTGTTTGGCGATTCCTGCTTATGGCGACTTATAATAAAACAAGTGGATTTATCATCTAAATTGAAGAAATATATGATGATATATATAATAACAATATTATATAAAAATTGTGCTTGTCCTGGCCTCCGTTAGTTGCATAGTTAGCACGACCATTACGCCATGTCAATACCTCATAAATAATAGACAATTCCGCTTTGATCACGTGAGAATGAGAAAACAAAAGACATATCAAATACGCTACTTGGTTTCAATGAGAAAATGAAAAAAAAGAAAGAAAAATAAAAGTGTTTAACATCTGTTTCAGTGAAAGAGAAAAACTCGACAATTTCAAATATTTTCATTTGTACCCCCTTACTTCCTGAAATAACAACCAGCATTCATATTCTTGATTGTTATTGAAGATATTGTTATGTTAAGCTCAAATATTTAACTATTCGATAGAGGAATTTCTACGGATATTTTATTTATTATCGTGAGAACACGCTACTTAAACTCTACTCTTGACATATTTACTGTAACATACATAATTATTATTATTATTATTATTATTATTTACATATTTGATATCAGAAGCAGGCGAGAGCTACAATTGTTAAAAATCAATAGTAATTTTCTTCATAATCTTTTGTTTTTTTTTTACACTTTTCGAGTATTGCTGCCATATATGGTCTGGGGGCCCTTCTGTTTGCCTCAGGGTTCTTGATAGGCCCCAGAGGCGGATATGCAATATAATTGGCCCTGTTCTGGCATCTCATCTACAGTCACTCTCTCGCAGACGCACCGTCGTCTCTCTCTGTCTTTTTTACAAATACTTTCATGGCAATTGTTCCGAAGAGCTGCATTCGCTGGTTCCCAGACTTCATGAATTCAAGCGCCCTACAAGGCTGGCATCCCGCTCTCACCCTTTCACTGTCGAAACTCCTAAATTTAGCCGCCTCTTCTATTCCAGTTGCTTCAGGTCTCACACCTCTCGCCTGTGGAACTCCCTTCCCTATTCCCGTTTCCCTGAGAGCTATAATCTCCAAATATTCAAATGTAATGTCAATCGACATCTCCAGTTGTCTTGATCTATCCACTATCCTTCTCCTCTTCCTTTTTTCTATCACTCCTATCTGATCTTGCTCCAAATCTTCTGTAACCCCTTGCGTCCTAGTGGCTTCCCGCCTTGCTTGGGGTGAAACCATAAAAAAAAATGTCCATTTCAACTTTGCTATGCTTTTAATCCGAGTAATATTAGTGTTAATCCTATTTGGATGATATGAGGACATTTTTAGCCCCAATTTCACGATTTCGGAAACAACGTACAATGTATGGCGAAAAGAAAAAAGTAACAACGATTTTACAGCAGCCATCTTCGTTTTTTGTCTCTCCTTCTTTTTAGGGTTCGGATGACAATTTATTTGACCTTCTGTCTTTTCACATTTTGAAAGTGAAATATTTTGCACTTGGTATGTGTCAGAAAAAGCAAACAGAGATGATATCTTAACCGTGAATCCTGGCACCGTTTTTATCTTAAAAACAAAACAAACATTTTTACGTTTCGTTTCTGGTTGAAAAAAAGCGTTTCCGAAAAAACAAATTTGAGATTTGAAATATTTTTTTTTTAATTTTTATTAGAATGAAACAAAAAACAAAACAAAAAAAAACAACATTAGATTAAAATGGCACGTAGCCAACATCAGGATACGTGATATTCGCAGAGACTGAATTATAAATATGTGTAGCAAAGCATCTTTGACATTTGATCATCATTTAGGAATGGTTCTTTCATTTTTTCTTTCAGCTTTAATAAATTGCAATCTTCTCTCTCTCTCTCTCTCTCTCTCTCTCTCTAATACGTTGAGTTTCTTTTTTTTTGCTTCTTGCTTCTTATTTTTCCTCTTACTTTCTTTCATTTTTTCTTTTTCATTCTGGGTTTTTTACTTCTTAATTTTCCTCTTTCTTTCTTTTTTTCTTTCTTATTTTTCATCTTTCTTCGAACGTTCTTCAACTTTCTTTCTTTGCTTATACGTCTTTCTATTTTCTTTCTTTCTTTCGTTGCTTCTTGTTTCTCCTCTTTCTTTCTTTCTTTCTTTCTTTCATCAACTTCTTTTCTTTGTTTATACTTCTTCCTCTTTATTTCTTACTTTCCTTCTTTCTTTCTTTCTTTGCCTCTCATTTTCTTCGTTCTTGTGTTCTCTCTTTTTCTTTGAACCTTTCCTTTCAACTTTTTTTATTTTTTTGCTCGTACTTCTTCGTCTTTCTTTCTTTCTTTCTTTCTTTCTTTCTCACTCTATATATCATTTTTATTCTTCCTCTTTCTTTTCGAACCTTCTTCAACTTTCTTTCTTTCCTTATACTTCTTTCTTTCTTCAACATTCTTTCTTTGTTCACACTTCTTCCTCTTTCTTTCTTCCTTTCTTTCTTTTCTTGGCTCTTATTTTTCCTTGTTCTTGCTTTCTTTTTTTTCTTTGAACCTTCTCTTTCAACTTTTTTTCTTTTTTGCTCGTACTTCTTCATCTTTCTTTCTTTCTTCGTTTTTTCTTTTTCTCTTTCTTTCTATCTTTGTTATTTTCCTCTTTTTTTCGAACCTTCTTCATCAGCTTTCTTTCTTTGCTTATACTCCTTTCTTTCTTTATTTCTTTTCAAACAATAAGACCAAATAGTCGGCAACTTCAGACTAGGATCCCGAAATGAACACGGTGAGAGACGTGCCAAGTGGTGTAGAGGAGGACTCAAAGAACCAGAATGATTATGTAACTATCAGCAAAACATTTAGAAACGCAATTCTACATTACAAAACATACCCAAATGACGAATGCGGTGGCGACCATCTTCCAGTAGTGTGCTATATCAGAGTAAAACTATGGTTATTAAGAAGGCCAAAGCCGCACCTAAACTACACTACAACATACCCCTGAATGATCCACCTTGCAAGGAAACACAGAATAACTGTATTATGAACGAATAAAAACTGAACAGGAATATGAAACCGAAGTGGAACATGCTGAGATTGATATCGGCGAACGCGATCATCCCAAAGAAAACTAGACAAGAAAATGACAAATGGGTGACAGGAGAAATTCTAGAGATGATGAAAATGTGACAACAATGCCAACAAATGGAAAAGAATACCGAACACTAATCACAGAAATAAAAAAAAAGAAATGTAAGAAAAGCTAAAGAGGAATGGATCAATGAAAATTGTGCAACAACAGAGAATGTGCAACACAAACACAGCAAGTATCTTATATCTATAATTCTCAAAATATGGGTGTGTATGTATGTGTGTGTGTTTGTGTGTGTCTGTATGTATGTGTGTGTGTGATCGGATTTTGTTCATGCGATTTCACAGTTTTCATCTGATTTCGATGAAATTTCTTTGGTTTCATAGATAATTCTTCAATGACAGTTTTGAGTTCAAATTGTGGGCGACAATGGCTCTCCACTACTTCCTCTCCATTATAACTCTTACCAACGTTTTATTATTTACTCTCTATTCTTCGATATATATCTTTCATAAAAACTTTAATAAAAATAAGTAGTTTAAATTATTACAATAATATTATCTATATCTTAAAATGTGTGTGTATGTGTGTGTGTGTGTTCATGATCGGATGTTGTTTATGCGTTTCCTCAGTTTTCATGCGAACGCTTCTGCGCGCGAGGCTGAAAATGATGATCAAACGACTCAACGGCTGAGGAGAAACGCCTCTTCAAACGCTGCTGCGCGTGAGGCTGAAACAAGATTGTGAACGCGAAAACAACCCTTTTAAGAGCAACGCCCCCCCATTCAGATTGCCAACCTCCCCATTTGGGGAAGTGTCTTTCCGTTGTACGTAATTTTTGTTATTAATATTGATTTTAGGTTGGGCTGAATTTAAACTTAAAAATTCCTGGTTATAAAACTAGTGCACAATATAAAAGAATTAACATGACGAAAGGAGAACCAATTCCAAAAGAGTACGGATGACAGAAAAAAGAAAAATAATGCTGGGTCGAATAGATCAGAGAACGTTTACACGATGCTAGAGGGTACCCTTCACTTAAACATATGGAAGGACCAGAAATACTAAAAGCTCAAGTAAGATCAGCTTTGGAGAAGAGCGTATAGAGGACGTGTGTGCATTTACATGTTGTTATATTAGAGACATGTTTGTAACTCCTGGCAGAATATTAAAAGGCCCAACTACAGGAAAATTGGCGGACTTAATCTGTCCAACCGAAGATGAAAGAAGACAAACAAAAACAGATATATATATGTCAACAAATATGTATTAAACAATTTACAGGGAAATAGTCATAACCTTTGTGTGTGGGGGAACATTGTGTTCTTTGGTGAATGTTTGTAACTGTTCGTATTGCGGTGAATGTTCGTACGTACGTATGTTTTTCATTGTTCATAGCGTTTTCCCATAAATGAGAAACGCTGATCTTCTAAGAGCTTACATCTTGTCGTTGAAATGAAGAAGAAAGATAGATTGACCTCACCTCCACGCGAGGTGGAATGCGGAACGAGACCTGAGGGGAAAAGAGGAGGAGTTAAGAAGTTTCCCAGTATTTATAGGATAGGAAGAGAGACCCCTGGTGAAGAATTAGAGAACTCAGGGGGAGATAACTCCTAGAGATGAATATGAACAGGAACAAAGCAATAGGGCCTTATGGCATCGTATCAGAAATGTTCTCATCCTTAGACGGCAACCACAAGATCACAGAAGTAATACACGCAATACCCAACAGTGGCCACATGCCGGAGGAACTCGCTAAATCCATCGTCGTAACATAACTAAGAGATTTGATTCAAATGAACCCCATGGAACAATCAGTTTAATGAGACACATAACTAAACTAATGATGCGAATCCGGATGAAATAGAGCATGGAATATAATTAGACCGGAAATAAGACAAGAACATTGCGGCTTTGTCGAGGGCACCGAAGAATGAAATAGGATATTCATGATCAAAGAGAGCAATACAAATCCAGAAGGATCTGTATTTACGTTATATCGATTACTCAAATGAATTTGGCAAGCTAGGAAAACTCGATCTATTTGGAAAAGATATCAGAATAATCCAGAACTTATACTTTAAACAGACCTCCTGCACACGAATAGAAAATAACTTGAGTAGGTACACAAAAATAGACAGAGGCGTGAGACAAGGATACCTCTTCTCGCCGGATTTATTCACTCTCTACAGTGACACCATCGTAATGAAACTGGAACACTCATCAAGATTTATTATCGGTGGGCGTAATCTTAACAGAAGACACTGTGTTGATAGTCGATTTGGAAAGGAAACTGCAGGACCCTCTGGAGAGTGTGGTAGAAGAAAGGAGAAAAAAGGACTAAATGGTCCTCAGCAAGAGAAAAAGCCCAAGATACGAGTTACAGATCAGAGATATAAAATATCAAGCAAGTACCGAAGTTTAAATATCTGGGAAGCGGTTGAAGAGAGGATGAAAATGCGATGCCAAAATTTCAAGACGTACTGAACTCTCAAAAGAAGCACCTGAAAAGCTAAGCAATGTCGCTAGAAAGTGCTGGATTACTACCTGATATCTATACTGTTAGTGAATGCTGGACCATCATGTCCCGAACGGGAAAACAAAATGAAGCAGAAATGGGGTTCTACAGAACGATGCCAAGAGTAACGTACCTATCCCGTAAGAAAGAACCAGTTTTTAGAGAAAATGGAAACATTGTCTGTCATTGTCTTTGAAATTTAGCGTGTTTTTTTTTCGATTGGCACTGCTATCCAGGGCTAGAGAGCACACTTTATCATACTTTAGAGGGGGAAGAAATGAACCCTAATAACATACACACGAAAGTGAACGCAAAAGTTTGTTTGTTTTTTTTAAAAACTCGATTTCTATTTCCGCGACGATGACCGTAACACTACCAGCAAACCAGCTTGCCAAACATATTGAGCCATAGTTATTGATGAAAATCATTAATACTTTAAACGATTTTCACCGGTTTTCTTAAGTTTGCCATCGAACTATTTTCCATTGTTTATACTACGCGCACTTTTCTATTGAATCTTATCTGTCTGTCCAGTGTAACATTTTACGAAGACAGCCATTGAACCATACACAATGGAACTACGGAACTGCAGCCCAGGGCAGTCAATTTTTGCTCTTGATACAGCTATTTTTTCCAGAGCCAAAAGATTGTCGGTTTTGGTGTTTCAATTTCTTTTCAAGCGCTTCAAATGCCAACGGGGAAACAGGAGGGGAGCACGACAGGTAACAAAAGTAGACAATCACTTTCATTGGCACGAGAGGGAAAAACGCCGTAGGTATTGCTGTCTTAATTTCCGTTTGCCAAACCCAAACTCTTTTAGCAGAATGACTTTAGAATCAATCGCCATCAAAATTGTCCCGTCAGTTAAATTATGACAGGAGATGGCACTCTTTAGAATTATATTTTTTTTTTTATTGTCAATAATCTTACAAAAGTTTATGGAATATTTGAATGGAGTTTGTTTCAACGTTTCTTTCATATTACTCTTTCGTTTAAGACCAAAGTCTTGATAACACTATAATTTTTTTATTACGTCGTCATTGTCGGCAACCGCTCCTATTCGACCATCGGGATCGTAAACCTCTCTTCTTATTCCTGTTTTCTCTCCTGCTACAATCGGTGGTGGAGATGGGTATAAATTAATAAAAAAAAGAGTTCAACGAGGCCATTCGTGTGGATTTGATTTTGGTGGACAACTCTGCCCGTCGGAGAAGCCCACCCACCTGGCCAAGAACCAACTGCCTCGCGTCTCAAAGAGGAATTCAGATCTTGCAAACGTGTTTCCATCGGGATGACGGATGCTCGGTCTGTCAAGTTCTGCCCTCTTTAGCCGGTATGGCAGTTAAGATAGTGTAGATCATTGTCCATTCCTTCGTTTGTGTTTTCGGAGGTTTATCGAGTTCAGTCTGGTCCTTCGACTTTATTTATAATTCTCTACATATGGATAAAATGCATGATGTCAAACTCCATCAAAAACTATCGTTTATATAGAAACGCTTTCTCAGATGAAAGATTTAAAAGAAATGAATGTTTAGATCTTAAAGAAGATTACCCACTAAATCTGATAGACTGGCGCTACATAATCAATGAAACAGGTTCGTTAAATAACAAAAAGTCCATAACTTTGAGACCTCCAACAACACCAGTAATAACAGTAGCAACAGTAACGGGAATGGCTTACACATGTAACTACAATGAAAATAACGATATTCCCAGCTATGGGCAAAGAGTTTACTATTACCAGCAATACCTTCTTGAAAAAACTTATTACCAGTAATACAATTTTGAAGGAAAAATATTATCAGAAACAGATTTTTGACAAAACAAAATATTACCAACAATAAAAAAAAAATTGTCGGCATTAAATGACCTATTGAGCTTGATTGGCCGTAAAACAAAATAAACCAAACCAATCTAAACTAAATAACGCATATTCTATTCATACATAT